CATTGACGGTTTCCCTACCGGAGGAGGAGGTACGTCACCTTGTTAGATGGGCTACTGAAGAAGTCGCAGTAGCACAAGACCATATGTTCCACGGAAACAGGCGGAATACAGTATTCCGAAAATTGCTCGTGAAATTTAAGCTGCTCCGTGAATGCACACAACTGGGCATGGCGTAAGCCGGTTTATGTACCCAAATTCGTGGTACCTTGTGTCAGAAAGCGACGCTAGTTCCGCTCTCCACCCCCTAGCCGGCCGCTACCTAGGCGAAAACTGTGTGAGGCAGTGTGCACTCGCTGTCTCTACGCACTCAGTTTCACGCGTAGTTTATGATACTGTATCCCACCTGTTTGCCTAAACTTATAATTTAATGCGAGTAGCTTACTGGACATTATCCCTTTACAGATAGCTCCAGAGTTCGCTCAGGAACTTACCGCTTGCCAAGTAATGGAAGGAGAGCTGGCTAAGTTCGAGTGCAAGTGAGTGAAATACCTAGCCTACGATGTTACTAAGCACTAAAAGGTCTGCAATATTACATTTTTCAGGGTTAAAGCCGGTCCTCACCCGGTGATCAAGTGGTTCAAAGATGGTCAAGAGCTGAAACCTGGAGATGGTATCCAAATCGAATCACTTCCAGACGGCACCAATCGGGTTCGATCCTTCGCGAGCGTTTTTCCAGGACTTATTAGGATTATTGATTGGACTTTCAGCTCATCATCGACAAAACCAAGATCGACGATCAGGGCAACTATCGAGTGGAAGCGACAAACCCTGCCGGTTCAATGAGCAGCAAAGCACCGCTTTCCGTTCAGGGTACGAGCTTTCAACATACAAACTTCTCTCAAGACCTTTGTTCCATAGGAAGCCACAAAAACTCTGTTGCTGACCTTCCTAATCGCTAAATTCCTCCATCGGAACAGGGCAGAGCGGTGAAACTCTTGTCCTTGTTCGAATCACGTCCAGTAGAAAAGGACAAATTCCGCGTCTAGCAGGTGGGCGGAGACTCATAACCATTGAGCCTCTCTGAATGGTCCACTCCTCTTATCTACCCCATTAGAAGGAGGAGCGCACCAATCAAGATGGCGTAATGGCTATGAGGGCGCAGATATAGCACAGCTACTCGGTCCAGTTTGTTACCCGTGAAGAGATAGATGACGTGTCGCTGACGTCACGTAGTGCGTTGATGACGTCAGTGGCTACAATCTACGCATGTTTCCTTGTCATTAAAATGTTGCATGACATGTCGTCT